CGTCAGTGGGTTTTGAACTCACAACCTACCACTTGGGGGTATGACAACTTATCCACTTCACTAAGTCGCCATATCCTACTATTTATATTATTTATTGATCAATATACATACGTACAAGTACTATAGCTAATATTGGGTGTTCTAAAAGTTATACAGTTGCTACAAACAAGTTTGCTAGAGCAGCCTTTCAAAGTTTGCTATTATTGTTATAACTGCCACAGCATATAATTAATTAATTGATTATGATGTTAAACTTTGAAAACTGCTCTAGTAAACCCACTATATTACTTACGTATCTAATTTGTCTGGAGCGTAGCAGAGGACACTGTTTTTATGTCTATATTTGATCAACACTGTCACGTGCATTCTATTTGTTTGCTTCCGCATCTCTGATTGGTTGTCAATCATGAGCTTTATTTATAATTCAATCAATTGATTATTTAGCTTGGAATATACAATGCTATGCATTTCCGAATATCATTATATTTTAACTATAAACACTTGATCTTGTATAAAAGATAGTTGTTCATTAAGTAAAAATTGCCCAGCTGATAATATTATCATATAGCTCTTGCTAACTAGTATAGTTAATTCTAACTCTAACCCTAACCCTGACCTGAAAATTTGGTGTTCTATATATGCATATATTCTAGTGCTAGCATGCAATTATGTGTAAAGGTTTATTATAAATATTTTGCTACATACAGTTTACATATATATATCACATCAGTAAAGTGCTAGCATTTGGATGTTCTCTACTAACCTGCTATTTAATTCTTTACTATATTTAGTTACATAACACCAATACATTGTTACATCTATTGTTACACTACTTAATTTGGGCATCATGGAGCATAATGGCCAGTTTGCCCACACTTTTGGCAATGCCTTTCTCCCTTTTTATTTCCAGTCATCTTTTTCAGTAATTTACTACCAGACTTGTATCTTTTAGGTTGTCGACCTTTGTGTTGTACTCGTAGCAGATCTCTAATACTAACATCTTCAACATTTGTCAGATTGACATTTTCATTTTAATCAGACATATCCCTCTTAGTTTTTTTGATAAAACATTCAATCTCACTAACAAAATCATCAACTTTATTAGCACGAATAGCCAAGTCAAGTGCCTTTTTCACATATCCCATACCAAATCCATATCTTTGTTTAGGACCATGTGACTGTACAACATTAGGGGTTTGCTTAAACCTCACAAGGTGCTGAAATGATAATGGTTGAGACAACTCATTTGACTCAATTTTTTTAATTTAATACATCGGTACAAATGCCTCATCTTCATTAATTCTACTATTATTATACCAGCATTTAGAAATAAGTGTAATATAAAATCGTGCATTAACAGAATAAGACATAACCCGAAAGAAATATCTACACATGAGGCCATGATTGACAAGCCAAAGGCATGTGCACAAGTGTGAGCTGTTGTTAAGTATGATAATATATTGCGGATCTGCTTGCTGTCTTCTATGTCTAGTAATTTTTCAAACTTCTTGAACACAATTCTGAGGTATATCTTCGAGCAAAGAAGGAAATAAAGATTGAGACTGATCGTAGTCATCTTCTCTGGCCATTTCTTTCTAGTAAGAGTCATCAGTTGTCTAAAGCGAAAAGAAAAAAAAAAAATTTAGTAATAGGTTCGAACTTAATAAGTTCAAACTTTTCAATTCTAACTTTAACCTAATATCCTTACCTCTAGGAGTGCTAACTAATTCTCAACTAATACAGCATCATAGCATATTGACTGGGCCATTTGATCTCGTTGTTTCTGAAGTATTTGTGGCGTGAGACGTTCTTTCAACATCTTATCCAACATAGGAAAGTATTCATCCATTATAGTCGATATACCTTTTGTTGGTATTTCATTTTTGCACTCAGCTAATACTGCCTTTTTTGATTGTTGATCAAATATTGTTTGAATCTCTCCAACAACATCCGTTAGTCGTGAAGTTCTGTTGAGTTTATCTTTGATAATTTTATTGGTTACTTCGGCTTACTGGGTACTCTGAATTCTTGTGATAAAATATCGATTTATGGCATAACTTACCCAACTCATCTTACATGGGTATAAAACATTCATAAGATAACTTTTACATGCTGGATATTCATTAATAAGGTTTTCCTATTTTGATTCAAATTTCTTATAGCACAAAGTGTTACACATCTTCAAAAACCTAGTATGAAAAGGCCTAAACTGTTCATGTAATATACCCTTAAGCTTCTTTTTTAAATTTAAATCAATGTGAAAGATACAATAGAGATATTGTGTATCCGGATAGTTCTTTCGCACAGCTGATAGTAAAGCAGAATCAGCATCAAAATATAGCACTGTAGGTGCAATTTCACACAAATTTTTTAGCTTTTGCAAAACCCAGGTAAATGTTGATTCAGTTTCGTCCTTAATAATTGCTGATGCTACAATCAAATTCCTGAAATTGTTATCAACCACTATAAATAGCATCAATATCATGTCAAACTGGTTGGTTTTGGATGTTGTGTTTATGACTACAATATCATGATATTGTTCATAAGCGCTAATTTGATCAGGAGCCATCCAGAACAATGAGTTAAGTTGTCTTTTCTCTGAATCAAACCATGGTTTAACTATCCACATTGGATCTTTTTCTTTTTTTGAATATAAGTCATTGAGCATTCTACATGCATCATTTTTACTAGGTTTTGCCTGACTTTTGAACCACTGAATTGTGTTACTTAAATCTTTTCTATTAATAACATGGCCTGGAAATGATGCAACTAACAAATTATATTGAGTTGATAAGCCTAATTTTCTATGAATAGTCCAAAATTTGACTTTTTCAGACATTTTATATGTTAACTTTCGATATTTTGGTGCCATCTCAGTAATAAGAATGTTTATTTTGTGATTGTGTTCACCTAAAATACTGTTAATACAAACTTCTTTCTCTATTTTAGGGAATGCCAAATTAATGTACCAAGGACAATCAATTATTTCAGAATCTCTGTCTCTCTTATCTTCTGCCAGAATAGCCTTTTCAGATTCATGTATCTGAGCATGTGAACATTCATATGTTCACTGTCTTGTTATGGTGTAGTTATCAGAGTCAACAACCTGTTTTTTTTTTCGAAAGCTGAACTCTTTCTGCTTTGCATAATTGGTAAGGTATAATTCGGCAAGTTCCAATGTACTAAACTTCATTTCTTTACATAATACTAATAAATTATTTTTTTCTTCCTCATCATTTTCACTATCTTCATGCTCATTATTTTTCCTCTCATCATAAATTCCATTATCTGCACCTTCCGGTTGAGCTTTAAAATCCGATTCAGTCAATGGATCACTAGAGCTTTAGAAATTAACATAGGTTGACATAGTACTATCATATCCATAAGGGCCAGGATAAGGTGACGATGAAGTATTTACATTATCATAGTACTCATAGGCATTTGGATAAAATGACGAAACAGTTGCAATATTATATTCATAGCTAAAATAAGGTAAGGTGAGTTCGTATGTATTAAAACAAGGTGGCGAAAAATCAGGTGCAATATCCTGTTCGTAGATGTTAAAGTGAGAGGGTGATGAGCTATCTATTTGATCATGATTATAGGCGTTGAAATAAGATGATGATGATGACAACAATGACGACGACGATGATGATGTATTCGATGCTTGACCTGTAGAAACTGATAAAGTGTAATGGAACTTCTTTGGCTTCATGGTAAATAAATAATACATGAACTTTGGTAATTAGGTGTTAAAAAATTATGGTTAGTTTTATTTGAAAGTGTATTTGGATATAGAAAAAGAAAGTGTGATTAGATGTAATAAAAAAAAAAAAAATTAATAGAAATAAATAATTTGATAGACTATTAAATTAAATATATAGGTGATATCACCTAGGTGAAATCACTCCTAGTTAAAATTAGTTATAGACTTTTAAAAAAACTATTTTATATTATATTTATTTAAATAGTTATAAACTTTTTAGTTTTTTAAAAGTTTGAATAAGGTTGTATATTATTATTTTAGTCTTTTCTTGAATTAATCTCTTAATGTTTTTAGATTTATATTTAATTTTTTTTTTTAATAAATTTTTTTTATAAGATCTTTGCTAACTCTAATTTGCTTGTTTTTTTACAGATTTCTTTTAAAAATACTGTCTAAACCAAATTGATAACTAAATTTTTTGTATTTTCTTATTTTTTTTTATAATCTTTATATATTGTCAAGTGTTTTTGATCTTCTTTCTTGTTTTCATTATACAGAATACAATATAAGTTTTTATATATATCTGAATATCTTTTTATTAAAAACTTTAATATTAGTAGTTTTTTGTTAACACATTTAAGAATAATAGATACTATTTTAAAATTATATATAAACTTGATGTTAAATATTTTTTATAGTTTAAATTATAGAATTTTTTATTAAATAAATCTATTTTAAGCTTTTAAACAAATTTGTAGAGTAGGTTTTTGTAATTCTAGCAGTAATACTTTTATTAAAATTAGTTAAAATTTTATTAAATTATTAATATTTAAAGATTAGATCTAATTTTTTATTATAAAGTTTATTATATAGAACTACAAAAATTAACTAATTAAAATAAATCATTTTGTACTATTTAAACAAATTTGAGTTATTTTTTTTTAGTATTAAGGTTATCTCTTTGGTCCTGACTTTTTATTTTTATTTTTTTATTTTTTTTATTTTTTAACTTAAGCAGTCATGCTAGTACTTTATTAAAATTCTTGATACTATACAGATTACAGAAAATTTTTCTAATATTTAAGTCCAGCATCACCTGGCCACCTTATTGGTACCTAAGTGTGACCTGCCGCACTACCTCAAACAGAAGTAGACTGCTCGTCTGACTGCTGCCCTACAATAGGATATCACCAATCTGATGACGTCTTCTCGTAAGGAAGCAAAAAAACAAAAAAAAGATTTTATATATAAAAAAAAAACAAAGGTATAGAGGTAAATGATAAAAGATACAAAACAAGAAATAAAAGAGAGAAAGGAAAAAATGAAAAAATGAAAAGTATGAAACTTGCAATTTACAAAAAAATCAGATGGTCACGATTTTAAACCTATGTCAAGTGTGAAACTTGCAATTCACAGATATCAAACAACTACAATTATAAGCCTATGTTGGGTTTGTAAAAATTATAAACTATACTAAATAGAAATTACTCTACTATCTTTCTATTTACTTAGATTATTTAAACAAAAAA